GCTAACCGCTGTTTTGCGCTATATAAGGTATGACTAAGTTTAATATATGATCAAATTGTGCAGAACTCATTCTGTAGTAGTTCAAACTGCATAGTTGGTCTCTTAGAAGCAAATATTTTTCACCCAACATTTTGTTTTGTTATTTACGCCCGCAGTTATAGTATAGGCTATGCCAATTTTTTGGTACCTGCGAGCGAAGGAGCTATCCTTACAACGCCACGTTTGCATGCCAACTGAGTTAGGGAGGCTATCTAGTGCAGTGTAATCATAACGACACCAACCGCCCTAAATCGCGGCCGATATATCGTGCCCGATAGATTGGGTAGTGTAATAGGCGCCGAAGCTAATGTGACGAAAGCCCGTCAAGCGTCTATATTGTTAAGTACTATTAATAAAGAAGAAGGTACACAACGGAATTTCTATCTAGTAGATCCCAATGTCTTCTTTTTAATTAATGACGTTGCCCTTGTGGATTTCGCCAGAATCCAGTGTTTCGCTTAGATAATTCATCAGTTCTAACGTTCCGCAACCGGCAAGAACCGACGCATTTCCGACCTTTAATGTCGTAATTAATATTTACACGTACATTTTGTTTCCATGGTTACAAATTATTTTGGGTTAATCTGTTGGACTAAAATAAGCAAGAAGACACGGCTTTACCGTCTATTTTTTGAAAGCATTTCAGTAATTATCAATTACAGATAGTTCGCTGTAACTATTGGAATAAACTGGAATTCTTAATTTCTCGACACCATTTTTGCAAGCATTCATCAGATTTTAATAATAAAAGAAGATATCCTTGTGTTATTATCATTAAAATTTATATAAAACGAGGATGACAACAATAATGGAACGTGTGAGGGAAATAAAAAAAGCAATATTTTGTTAAAAGTTTATATTGTACATCAACTATGATTTGTTTAGAGGTAGAACATCCTACTCTTAAATTAAACGGCTAATGTGATTACAATTAATTAATAAAATAGTTAATTTCGTATCGATCGCCGCGTTAATATCATTTATAGGCGGAGTGAGTAACCGAACTAACGTAAATTTACAAACGAATATCAAACGACTGCATCAATGTACAATATCGGTGGCGTTGCCTCGTAAAAATACATACTTCTGTCATCAGATTTTAGGATAATTTTTCGGTCCGCGAGTTATTTACCTGTAGACTTACTGTTCCAATTAAATTTCCAAGTTAAGGTTATGCTAATTTTAAATGCGACTGCTAATAACGTAAACTTTTTTGTTATTTTACAAGTTAAATAGCTTTGTCACAGATTTTTTTTTTATAGTGGATGGTGTACACTGGTGTGTTTTTAACATACAAATGAGTTTGGCAAACATTAAAAGCAACCGAGGCAACGCACAAATTGAAACCTGTTCTTGTATAAGTTTCACATATAATAAAGATTATCACAGAAAAAAAATAAATAATACCAAACAATTAAAGATGGCAACTTATTATGCACCACAATGTGAAATAAAATAACGCTACAATTTGATAATATAATCACATCTATAACTTAAAAAAAATAAAATGTTATTTCAAAAACTAAAAAATAGAAGCATTAATATGAATACTGAATTCGTTTCTATTATAATTTCTTTTGTATAAAAATACATTAAAAATCAAAATCAATTTCAAATTTCAACTAATAGAGGAATGTGATCGAACCGATATTATTATGAAATCTATACTTTAATATATCTAACGAATATTATCTTAACAATTAAGCAATAGGGACGAGTTTTGCCTTATCGCCGTCCATTACGACAAACTCAAACACATTATACAATATATTCTTTGCGGCACCGTACCTAGTTTTAAATTATCATTAACACTACTAATTACTGTATTTTTTGTACTGTATAGAAACTTAAGTACTGCCATTGTTTCATGTGGGTCGATAAAGTTAGGAACACACTTGCTCGAATAAACATACACTTGTTCCATTACAGCTAATTAAATAAAGATGACGTTCCAGGAAATCGAGAATTATTTTCCATATTTGTCACGTATTTTAAAACAATGTAATTAAGTATGTCGCGGATGAGCATATATTCAAATGCTTTATGTATAATACAAAGCCAGTGTGTTCTTAGCCCTATACCTAATATAGTCTGATGCTTTTAAATCTACATGTTCCATATTATATAAATTGTTCAATTTCTAAAGCCCTCAATAATTGTCATAGTTTCTCAAACATAATGTTATTTTAATTTAATACGTGAACTATTCTCACTTCACAGTTGATTAGTCTGCACCGTGGCCATTACGTCATTCTAATTTATCTAACAATTATAAGCACTAATATTAATATACACACAAGAGAGCGTCTCGGGTAGAAAAACTATAATATGACCTCTCAACAATATCATATAAACCTGCACTTCGAAAATTGGTAGAAAAAAACATACCGTTCGTACCGCATTCACATTAAGAAACCAGTTATATAAAATTAGAGTCTTACAATTTATAATTATTTACTATACATAATGTTAATGTACGTAGATACAACTTCTAAAAAATTTTCTGAACACATTTTTTAATAAGATATGGGACAATTTTTCAACACCTAATTCCGATACCATCTGTCGTTTCCATTCTCTATGGCACAAGTCGTGTGTAAATAAAAATTATGCACCTTTAAAGTACCCTCAACAAACAGCATGTCAGGTTATAGAAAATTCACAAAGTTCTCCATTCGATTTTACACCTTAAAGCATCTAGAGCAGAGCACAAAATCAACTATGGGAAGTTGTGGTAACCTGAAATGCTGCTGTATGTACAAACATCATAAGGTAAGCTTAACGGAAACATATCAGTTATAGGCCATGTTCACACTATTCTCTAAAAAGCAATATTAATTTACGTATATAGGTGCGACTTTATATGCCATAATAATAATTACTTTTTAATATACTTTTTCCTTTAAATTATAAATTCGTAACAACTAATTCATATTTATATAGTAATTACACATTATCATTATAAACTAATAAAACTGAATAATAATCGTGTGTATGCACCGCCTAAATTATAAAACTTTAGCATACTATAATAATATAATTACTCTTTATTACAATATACTGGTCATTCTGAGATCTATTCGTCACCAATCTGGCTCCAATACTGTTCACCATTTTTTTCATACTCTTTTAAGTTTCTTACAATAATGATCGCTAGAGACTGTTCATAGAGAATATTGTTAAAGCTGACTTCACATTATGTGATTGTATATCATTTTAACAATATGATATTATGCATTTTCAAACACACCGGACGTAGCTCATCGATATCCATGTGCTGCGTCTATCCAACCTTATATTATTGAGTGTGAAAATTACGGGTACGGTAAAAAATTACATTATGTGAACCCAGCTTTATGAACGTTACAATAACAGCTGTAGCAACCTTTAGGGTTAGGTTTATATAATCACAGACACTTTTCATATAAGTATATTATTATTTATGTGCTGGCAGAGTATTCAGTTCGAATAGCTCCGGGAAATTTTGGGATTTGGGATTATCAATAATGATCTTTGCAGGGTAGATGCCCTAGTTACAGCCCTTTAATCAATATTATGTGCGTTCGCTTGTAGTGAATAAATAAGATATATTACAGCGGTTACTATTCCGTTACACTTAATAAACGGTCCAGTGTCAGTTGCCATCAGACAAATCAGCGCAACTACACTCCCCGCCTGTGGTCCACTGCGTTCATTTCAATGAACAGTCCGTTATCGGTTGTATAAAGGTAACTAACTTCTAACCCTATAGTATTTTAGTTGGCAGATATGTTACCGTCTTTTGATATAACATCTCGTGGCATTTTAGTTATTATTTATATATGTATATTAAAAAATTACAATCGGTCGTCATTAGTCTTTTATTACAATTACAAAACTATCATTATACATATGTACGTAGATATTTAACGTATTTTGGATACGCATATTTAAAATTATACTATGTTATTTTGGCGACTATCTCTGTCGCATCCCCGCCATTCAAACGACATTCTAGAGCATGCAGAGTACCCTATACATTTTGGAGATTTACCAAGATATATTTCTGTACAAACGTAGAAAAGGCTACTAACGAATATATATCGCACTTATTCCTGCTGCCATTGTAAAATATTAGATCATTTATGTATCGGCTAAAAAGGCCGAAGTCGATTATGCGGTCCTATAAAATAGACTATCGATGTGCGCGCACACGTGACATAATAAACTTCATGTCTCAACGGAGCGATGGTAAAACATTAAAAGACACAGATGGATATATCGAGTCCTCGATGTGATCAGTCACGGGCGCGGTTTTATCGTGAATCGAATATAGAATTAATCAAAATATGGCAGTATCGCATCGAACGGTCGCGTCGTCCAGACGTCCGCGGTGTTATAACACGTCCGGGTGCCAGTAGGGGGCGGGCGCGGCGTGCAGCGGCGCGGGGGGCGGGGGCAGCGGCAGCGGCAGGGCGAGGGGGGCGGGGGCGGGGGCGGGCGCGGGGGGCGGGGGGAGGGCGTCTATCGCGGGGCAGTCGCAGTCGTCGAGCGTGGTCACCACGAAGTTGCCGTAGTCGTCAGTGAGCGCGCTGTGCCGCAGCGCGACGCACGTGTGCCGCCGCCCGCCGTCGCTCCACATGCGCTCTGACACCACACCACATTACACATTACAAGGACAGCGGTCAGAGATAAACTCGACACGGGTTATAAAGGTGTTCCAGACGGTCGAAAGCCAGCGTTACGACTTAGCGAGCCAACCATATCGATGACTACGAACCGAATTCGACGTGATATTCGATGCCCTCGGCACGCGCGTTTCCAACTGACAGATAGATTACAACAAATACAGTTGCGCAGCTGGGAATTCTGAACGAGGTCGCCAGTTAGGAACGCCGGTTGGCGACCGTATGGACCATACTATATATTTAAAACAATTATCACCGAATTGTGAATTGTCCTACTCTATGGCATTGACATGTGTAGAGCAATATAACGAATTATTTGAATGTCAATTTTAAAAGCACAGAACCATGTAAACTATTTGTAACTCTTATAGAGGCATAGTCCTTAATAAGTTCGTGAAAACATATTGTAAGTATGTTACCTGTACTGATGTCGACATCCGTCATCAGCTCCTCGTTCATCAGTTTCGACAACGCATCGTCTGTGTGGTTAGTGTCTGGAACAACTGCATAAAACAACCTCATGTTATGATCAATCAACTTAGTCTACTGTGTGACACACTTTCTTTTTTTAGTTATACATTGTTTATATTTTATTTTAATCTGTACACTTTACTATTTACTTATGTAACAATTTACTTTTTTATTTTATATACTTTCTTTTTATATACCCTCGGGAGCATGTACGATTACGTACAATTACTAATTTATATTTACTGCTGACGTGCAACCTACTTTGGCGTTCGGTCAATAATCTAAGTATATAATATGTATCGACATTAAAGTTAGTTGTAATTTACACTTGATCAACTCATGTATCTACTAACTAAACTTATCTATTAATTAAATAAACTTAACTATTTACACAGTGCAGTGTTTAACTTGAACTATTATTCAACTTTATCCAAACTAACTACTATCAACTACACTCTTCAAGACCCTAACATGGTGTAAATAATTAACTGTGAGAATTAAAAACTGTAGCATCTCAATTTATGACCTGCACATGAATATAATTTTATGAATGGACTAATTATAATATTGAATTCATTAGTATATCATATAGATGATTTCTCTTTTTTTAATCTACAAACGTCAGAGATAAAAGAAGAAAAAATTTTGTAAACATATTGTTACTATAATTACCAGACAGGAGACAGGATGTGGAAATAGTATATTTCATTACAAGTGCGGAATGGCTGTCATTGCAACGAGTTCCGATAAATCTCTACCCGAGCCTAGGCGCAGCCGAAGGCGAGGGTTGACAGTCGGAACGAGTTGCAATGACGGTTCCGCACGTGTATTGAACGACTATTTTTAATGCAGTTGCGAAAAAATGAAGCAATTTAATAAAACAATAAAAACAAAATTAACTCAACTTACTAATCATTTATTTTTATAAAAGTTATAATTCACATATACATTGAATTGGTACAGTTTTTTATACTAACTGGGGAAGTTTTAGGTTGCATATTTACTGTTTGAGATAAACTATTATTAATTTCGTATGATTGTTCATGTATATTTGTCATACAATGGCGTTTGCTGGTGGATGGAACTGGATCTAATGAATTATCATTATCAACGTCGGTAGATGGACGAACGTTCTCTTCAACGTATGAAGGAGATAGACAGGACTTTAAATTAATGGATTGTGTGATTTTTTCCAGTTTCTTGTTTAACGAATCACCAATATAGCTTTTCGTAACAAACACCAAATAAACACATTTTGTGTAACAAACAACTAAACTCGCAAAGAAAATTTGTGGAAAATGGCGCCATTTTTTGTTCACCCGTCCTGGTAAAGGGGCAAAGGGAACTATGCCCATACATACATAATCTTCAGTAGATTTTTTTTATTGATTTGAAATGAAAATGAAATTTAATGAGATAAAATGAAATTAAACCTAACCTCACTAATTCAATCAAATCATTAAATTTGACATCGATACAAATTAGTTGAAAAATACATACGCTACGTATTTACATGAATCATAGAAACTTCTTTGATTTTTTTTAGTAAAATCTTTATGGTTGGTTTTTCTTATTAATAGACATTAATTTGACAGTTGGGAAAGAGAACGCACAAGTGCGGGTAAAGTAAAAAAAAAAGCACGAGTGTGTAATAGTCCACATCCCGAACGCTATACGTCCCTGCAATACGCCACTTTTTGAGCAACTGTATTAAAAACTTCTTTTAAATTTAAAATATCAATATTTAGATATTATATCTTTTTTTAAATATATTTATCTTTTAACAGTATCTACTAAAGGAAATGAGAGTTTAAAAAGAGGTTTAGCCATAATAGATATCATTGTCACCATACAAAATTGTGGATATTAACTGAACCTTAAATTATATGTTCACAAAAAAAAAACTTTTTAGTAAAGAAAACATTACATATTTTAAAAATCTCAGTCCATCTAGGGCATCATTTTAGAGTTCAACAGGTAGAAGTGTAGTTCGAAAGACTTCCACAAAACTTTATTAGTTACTTTGAAGTCGATTCAACACTATTATTATATATATATATATATATACTTATATGACATGATCTGATCTCTTTTAGAAGTTTTGAAGAGTCTATTGAACAAGACTATAACAAAATCTATAATGTCTGTGTACCTGTTTCGCCGTGTTCCTGCTTGATAGTGAGCGTCGTGGTGTGAGGGGGCGAGGTGGGGGAGGTGGGGGCGGGAGGCGTGGGCGTGGTGGGCGTGGCGGGGGGCGTGGCCGCCGCGTCCGCGCCGCTGCTGTTGGAACTGCACTCCGGACTGTATGGCGCCATCTACACAACGATACACTTGATTCAAACAAAGTTCCCTACGTACTATAGAGTGAGATGATTCTCTACCATTCTCTGTGTATGTAAGGCATTAATTCAGCTTAATTTAATATTTTGTAATAAAGGTAGATAAAGAAATTAGGAAAGCTATATTATACTTGTATTTACAAGGATAAATACTAAGGCTCAATCAAACTGGAATAATGCTAGGCCAAAAGAGATATTTTAAAATTCAATAGGGTATTCTACACCATTTGAAATAAAACTTGTAATTGTTTATTTGAATTAAAATGTCATAAAATAAATATTTTTTTCCGAAATATTAAATATTTTTCTTGCCTAAAAAGTTTAAATTTAAATTCAAATTTAAACTAAAAAGTTTAAATTTAAATTCAAATTTAAATTTAAACTTTTTAATACCCGCAAAAACGCTACCCGTCATTTCCATGACGTCAGTGTGATATGTACAAAAAAACAGATGCATAGATGATACATTATTAAAAGATGTCAATAAAACAAGAACAATGCCATCAAAAGTTCCGATTACGAAAAACAAATTAGAAATAAGATAGGAACAGCGCCATCTAGGAATTTGATTTATATTTAATATGTATACAGGGAGGTACAAAATGACCGACACAGCCGAAAGTTTCAAGTTAGGTTACATGCAAACGTTCATTTTATTTGACAGATATTTAAAAATAGAGGAGGTGTAAAAATGGAGTAAAAATTTTAAATTACTAAGTGTTGACAGCCCTTTAACGCGCATGTGCAATATCGATTGTGCGCAGATTACAACTGACCGCCAAATACGAGGGTCAAACTGAAAGTTCTTAGAACTGGCCACTTATAAACAATATAATAAAAAAATAATTCTAAAATTTGAAAATATAACTCTTTGCCAATATTACTGAGTATATATTTCATTCATTTGTCATTTGTTTTACGATTTGGCGGCAAATTGAAAATTGTCTGTGTCACGTCATCATGAATTTAACACGAGAAAATTTTCGTGCAATGATTTTTTATGACTTTCGATGTCATTTAAGTCAACAAGAAAGTTATGATAGACTACGATTGGCCTTTCACGATGAAGCCCCATCTCGTGCGACTGTTTACAACTGGTTTAATGAGTTTAAACGTGGTCGCACTAATCTCACTGATGATTTACGTGAGGGACGGCCTTCTACGGCGACGACTGAAGATAACATCTGTGTTGTGCGGCGTATGATAGAGACTGACAAAAGAGTGACCTATCAACAGATTCGGACAAGCTTAGGCATCGGTATGAGTCAAGTGCACAAAATCCTCCACGAACATTTAGCGGTCAGGAAGCTTTGCGCCCGGTGGATACCTCATAATTTGACTGAGGCTCAAAAACTCCATCGTGTGGATTGGTGTCGTAAAATGATTGAAAGATTTAACGGAGGTGACTCAAATGCTGTGTTCGACATACTAACAGGTGACGAAAGCTGGATTTACTGTTATGATCCTAAAACCAAAAGACAATCTGCTCAGTGGGTGTTTCCTTTCGAGGAGTTGCCAACTAAAGTGAAGAGAGATCGAAGTGCGGGAAAAAAAATGGTGGCCTCGTTCTTAGGAAGGATAGGTCATTTTGCAACAATTGTGTTAGAGGATCAAAAAACAGTTTCTGCAGAATGGTACACTACCAATTGTTTGCCACTTGTCTTGGAAAAAGTTCGAGAGAAACGACCTCGCAGTAGGATCCTCCTTCACCACGACAACGCCTCGTCGCACACCGCCAAGCGAACGATCGACTATTTGGCGACATCAAACGTTGAATTACTGGGTCACCCGCCGTATAGCCCCGACCTCGCGCCTTGTGATTTTTATTTATTTCCAAAAATTAAAGAAAAACTTAAAGGAAAGCGGTTTATGTATGCTGAAGAAGCGGTGGCTGCGTATCGCGATGCCATTGAAGAGACCCCTAAGGACGAGTGGGCAAAGTGCTTTTCCCAGTGGTTCCATCGCATGCAGCGGTGTATTGACGTGAATGGACAATATTTTGAAAAGATATAATAAAACTAATAACTGGCTAATGTAATCAGTTTTTGATTTTCTAAGAACTTTCAGTTTGACCCTCGTACATTAATTTAATTTAATTATTTACCGATATCTTAATGATAGTCGATGCTGAAAATGTTCAATTCTTCTCTGAAGCCAGCTAAGCACGCTCTTTTGCATGCCAGTGTATGCACGCGTAAAACACATCACATTTCACACAAAACTAAACACAATCTTCACTAAACTAAACTTAACACTCAAGACAAACACTCTAGTATCTTATTAACAAAAATTCAATTAAAAATGCACTAGAACAAAACAAAAATCGACAAAAAAGACGCTTCGCAGCGGTGCGTCGGCGGCGATGCGCAACAACACTAGCGCAAAAGGTCGGCGGCGACTGATCGGCCGGACAATACCAACAGAATAATAAAAATAATGAAGGTGGGGCTTTGATATTGAGGGCTGAACTGGGTTCATATTTTTTTTATTCGTCTTTTGATATCACGTATTTTTCAATGTTCTTTTTAAATGCTATTTTAATAACAAATTCCTCAATGTTTTTAAAACAAAGTTCATTTGTGTTAATGATGAATCGCTGGAAGATTTGTGAGTTTATCGAGTTTAATTAACGATCCCATTGTTAAAGGAGTATTACCCCATTCAAACAATTTTTATGGAGAACTGCTCTTTTAAAATAACGTAGGTTAATGTTAGACTGATCTCTCTACAATAATTTAGGAAATTTTACACTCGGTTTCTTAATTGAGTGTTTAGAGTTAAACGTCTCAAACTAATATCACTTAGTTTTCGTTTTCGATTTTAGTTTTTTGATGATCAGTTGATAGCAGTTTGATAAAACTAAGACTATTTGACTTGTGAAATTAAAAAAACTTAGGTTATTGCGAATAAGCAGTAGAAATTTTCTACTTTTTTCAAATCATAAACCGGCTGTTAGTCTGTAAATCGATTTAAGCATTTTGACTGCCTTGTTTATTGATTGACTGGTAGAATTTGCTTGAAAGCAGAAACTAGTTTATTTCGTTTTTAGAAATGAAGAAGTCAATGACCGATTAAAAACTTTTCCTTAGTACGTCCCAAAAACAGCTGACTCAAGGTTGAATACACTCATTTTTTTTCAAAAACTTTGTAATTTAATATCTCCGAAACTATTTGACCTAGACTTATAAATTTTTTTACATCTTATTAAAGACAAATAGTACTCTCCAGGAACCTCGGGAGTGTCGGTCGTTCTGTTCCACTGAGTATGTTTCTTTATGACTAATCTGACAATTGTAGCCACAGTGACGTCACACAATGACGGGACGAGTTTCAAGTCACGTGACATACAAACAAAAATCATATCTTTAAATTTTAAGATAATAAGTTAATTGTGTGATTTTAAGACTCTATGTTTATAACTTTGTAAATTTTGGTTGTTGCGCAATATCGTGACTAGTAGTAAGTCACTTCACTACCGACACTAATTAAAACTTAACCCTTATACTCCTACGGCGTCGCGGCGTCACTTCGGCCATTTTCTGGCTGGTATCCATCGCCCAGTATGAGCCTTTGCCCGGGTCGTCTTTACTGCGGGCCACTTTCATGAAGCATTTATTTAGGGACAAGTTGTGCCTTATCGAATTCTGAAATGTGTATCATAATATTAATAACTTCACCAACTAATATTAATAACTTCACCAACTAATTTATACTATGCATTATATTAGGGCTTCAATTCAGCTAATTGTTATGTAGGAGTCACCTGTCAATATCTACCTGAAGTTCAATTTTTATAGTGCAATGTCTTCTTCGCAGATTCATTGAATAACAACAACTGTATCATAGAGGGTTGTAATTGAAGTGCTATTCACTTTTTATAACTATGCTAACATTAGTAGAATTGCCCTTTAGGTGTGTAATGTATACATACTTCTTGCTAAAATATATAGGAACTATAATTCCTAAACTCATCCTGATGATCTCACATTTAAGATAGAACAGCGACATTATAATATAGTATTATAATTACTCAAAGTAAAGTTGGGCAAATTACTTCTGACTAATAATTTTCCCACAATATTAACTGTTTTGGAGAACTGAATTCTGACCCAAGTAAATGCTAAAAGCTACTTAATACATTGTGGACATATTTTGATGGAGTTATTAATATTACAATTTGATATAGATGCCACTTACCATCCATCCTTTACCAGCTTCTTTGTAATAAGGAAAAGCATTACAGATATAATTGTAAATCTCATTAAGGGTCATCTTGCCATTTGGAGAACTGCTAATAGCCAGTCTGATCATACTGGCATAGCTGGAAATAAATATGTGTATTATAGGAACATTACCAACTCTTTTATATAGAATGAAAATAATTATACAGAATGCTACATTTATAATGCTTAAAAGCATGATCACATGTGTTTAGGAAGTTATATAGATTCTGTGAATGAATTTTATATTAGTTTGAGAAACATATTTTACTTATTAATTTAAGAGACACTGGCCTAGCATTATTTGATCTATACAGAAATTATTTTAGCAAAATAATGACTATTTGAAGTAGTTGAACATTTTATTTACAGAGAAACATGTCTGGGTTATCATGAAGAAAAAAAATCTTGCAACAGAAAAATATAAAATATACAAAAACCGATTGAATGAACCATCAATAATTTCAAAATATGAATAAAAAATAAAGCTGGTTCATATATTCTGTAACACCCTTACATCTTATTTGAGCAAAATTCACAAGTGGAGTGTAAGCAGTTAATGAACAATAGATTAACAAATCAATGAAATAGAACACCTTTTGAACAAATGGAAGTGCAATTATTTAAAAAATTTTAACATTACATGCTACATCTTTTGCAGGGTCAATAGTCACTCAAGATGTCAGTAGCATGTGGACAAGAAACAAATATGCAATCAAATAATGCTTTACAAGTGTCTCTTTATCAACTTCTGATAGTAGATAATAGGTTTACTTCTCATGTTTTGAGTAAAGTACATAAAATCAGCATTAGAAGTTACACTTTAATATGAATCATAATCCCTATTCAAAGCCTAATACTTAGAGAGGATAATGACAATTTTTACCTGTAAGCTGGTTTAGCATGCATTATTTTTGAGTTCTCCTTTTGATCACCTTCCTTATTGTTATTTTCCTGTTGTAGAGACAATGGTTGGACATCTTCGTATAAAAACCGAGGTATAGGACCTAAAGGGCTGTGGCGCGGTGGTCCGGGGCTGTAAGCTGGGAGCCACTCCACTCCTGGCGAATCACTCATTGTCCCATCAAACCAAACGTACTACTGCTCTCACGATCTTACAGTTCAATGTGTCATTCCTTCATAAAAGAAATATAAACGCACAATACGCACTTTATATTCTTACGATGCAACGCAACAGTGGGCGTATAACTCGCTACCTTTTATGAAGAAGATCCTCTTTGAAGAACATGAGATCCTTGAAACAACGACCTCAAAGAAATCACGAATAACTGCGGCGATGTAAATGTTCAGTTAGTATTAAACAAACAGTATAAAATACTCCAAAGTTAAATGTAAAAAAATATATTTCTACAACCAAAATAAATTTATTTGAACAGAAAATTTAAAATTATTATGACATTTGATGCACCTACAACAAGGAAAATGGCGTCGTATGAACACAGACCGATTTATGAATCAGTTGCGTAAAAGCTATTCTTGTTCCTGTCAGATAAAACAACCTATTCAAGATTTGGCAGCATGGCTAAGTTCTTTTGCCTAATTATTCCTGTCAAATCGTCAAATTCTATAGAGCTGCAGCCTACAGCACAGCAACATGCACTAAAATAGAGCGCAGCGATTTATTTATGTGCATATACATGAAGTGTGAATTTTTTACCAAATATCTAATAAATACAATTTGAAAACCATCTTGGTGTAGTGATTCGTGATATGAACATGTAGGTTTGTATCGGTGTTTTTTATGAGTATCTGTTTACAATAAAACTTTTAAAAAAAGATGCGTTCCCTTAAAGTGATAAATAAAACAGAATTACTTAATTTAGTCATTGAATGTTTGGTTAACGTAAAATTACACTACATGTGCAAGAAAGTGTATACAAATACGAAAAAATACAAATAGAATATGAGTTCTTTATTGAATTTTAAAAATAATTTACTTTTATACATAAAAAAAACCGGAAGGATTGTCAAGGAGATATCAAGAACATACCGTAGCGACATCTAGTTTGATTTCGGGAACTAATGTTACTCCCTCATTGTGCGAAAGTAGATATTATTAATTTTTATAGTCTGGCAGCACTGAAGACTACCGGCAAATCATAGAGGAATAATATTGCGGCAAATTAAAATATCGTAACTGTCAGTTTGAATGAAAATTTGAAGTAGGGTTGTCGTGTTTTCGGTTGTCATTTTTAACGGTTTGTTGATATTGTTTGCACAACTATCAAAAATAGTTTTAAGATACCTGTGTGTGAACTGAAATTTTTTTTTTATAGTGTTATACAAAGTGGCTTAGTGACAATGACGGCCCAACCAGAAGTCGGTGTGTCCGACTTTGTCCTGATGGACAATCTCACGACGGACAAGTTTATAGAGAATTTGCATTTGAGGTATGTAAGTAAGTTTAGTGTGATATGAGATTTCCTATTTAATTAACAACCACGATTAGGTTAAGTGCGTTGATCATTACCCACGATATAAATTAGCGGTCGGATAACATGCAAAATTTAATATTGCAGATGTAGTATAGTGATATGCATCTCCCACAGTGAACTAAATATTAAATTCATAACATGTCGTTGTGTACTGAAGACCTTGCTATTTCATTCATAATGTACAGGGAACCATAGCCTTGATAATATCACTTGAATAAATAAAACATGCGAAACAAGGGCCATTAACTTACAAATTTGGGTTAAATAAATTCCGTTCTTTTAAGCTTAATTTTGGTTGTGGATCATCGGTTGCTGTTTTCATGATAAATAATGGATACCCTATGGTTTACTGTTCTGTAGACCCACTAAGTCCCACCTCTCATTATCAATATTTCAACAGTGGGCTTTTGAATATATATTCGAAATAAATAAATAAATATATAACTTTAAAACTTCAGTGCTTATATAAGATTTATTGAATAAAAACTTTTTGGTGAATAGGTAATTCAATACAAATATTTGTGTTCTTATTAGGAACACTAGATAGGCTTAACAAATAAACTTTGTAAAGATTTGCTTTACTTGTGACTCTTGGAAATTAAAAATATTTAAACATAACTCAAGTTTCATTTAGTTATAGACTTTATTTTGGTATTCAAATTCTCTATCAAAATTACATAGGAAGAAATTAATTCATCACTTATTTTAAAATGGATGAGTCAACACACTTGATGGCCTTGACTCTAACTTGTCTGTGGAATGCAAACATTTTTACTATTAACATTTGATTAATCTAAATATGGTTGTTTATATAATCTCTATAACTCACCTCTAAATCAAAATTTTAAACACTTTAACATGGATAAGTTAGGCATTTCAAAATAATCCAGTAATTTAAAATTTATAAAAAATAGAAATTGTAGGCAAAATGTTATTAGTTACTGTATTATTTATTAGAGATAGTTTCATTTGTCATTTTAGTATTTTATAAATCATGTTATGACTGAGTAACATGGGCTATATGGGCTTGTGTTAATTAATGGGGGTATATTTAGAGCACCAAAATCAGATTTTGTGTACATTAACCTCTCGGAAATTAATATTGACCTTAATATGTTATGTAATATGAACAATAATCTGAGTAACATCCCTTTAATTATCTTAAGGGATTTTAAGATATTTTAATTAAAGTTTACTTAGATTAAGAGTGATAATACTTGTTTCTTATACTTTCACTTGGACTTCAATAAATAAAATAAAACTAGGTACCTTTAAACAAATTTAAACCGTGTATACTTGATTTTATTTTAAACATTTTATGGTTGGTTAATAGTGATTCCATGATCATAAAGTAGCTCAGTGGCATAGAAAAGTAGCTTGGTGGCTTAGAGGATAAGTTTTGTGGCCCATGATCGTTGGTTGGTCACGGGATGGGTGATCAAAAAATTATTATCCTGCATTTGCAGTCATTAATACCCTCCAATCCACATTGGGCCAGTGTGGAGGGTTATGGTCCATCCTCCTTAACCATCCATAAGGAAGGCCTGAGCCCCTGCGGTGGGGACGTAAAAGGGCTGATGATGATGATCATAAGTAAGATGTGTTATATTTGTTTAAAATTTATAATTATTGTTGAAAACATATTATCCGTAACACAAATTCACTTAAAAACTAGGTAGGTTATTGTAATAATTCAATTTTTGCTGTCAGTATCAAAGAACCAAGTGAGTAACATGACACTTGTCGCATTTATAACTTGCTCTTCATATTGTGGATTATACAAACCGAAAAATATTACAAGTACTACACAAAAGTATAGAATGAACTTTTCGACAATAATGTTGAATATACCTAGATGAAAAAATAAATCATGCTTTTTTACGTGTTCTATGCTCAGCTCATAGAGATACATCTTAAAATAGTTTCAAGATTTTATCACCGCCATAGTGTGTGGCTCGCAAGCACGCCGGTTTCAAGGTGTCGTCATCCCAGGTTCGATTCTTGGGTGTTGCCTTCCTCCCCGCTGGCGACCCTTGCATTAACTTTCGTTTTAAACACTATCTTCCCCCCCTACTTTCTCTCCCCGGATCGATTCCACGTTTGAACTCGAAGATTTCAAGTCTTGATTCTACTTCTGAGCATCCCGACGCTCTTAGCGGAGACGCTTTGCTTCGTCAACCTGCCACAAAGCCTATTATTATTAATATGGAGCGAGACATAACCATAGCCATTACTGCGAGTATGATGTCACCCCTCAAGGTGCCGTCTGAGGCGACCTTTCATGCCTTTTTTCCTTCTGCCTCATTGTATTGCGGTCGTCAATTATGTCCTTTGTTATTAGGAATGTAACAGACAAACGTGTGTTGATAATACAAATTGTATGATGACCTAAGCTATTCGAATAGATGCGTGTTATAGGTATATTGATTAACTATACGAAATTATAAATGGCATGCATTGTTTTATAAAAGCAAGATTATTATCTTGCTAATGACATGTGTTATCATGAAAAGGTTTTAATTTGGTTGTTCTATCGGTGGGATATTTATTTTAGTTCAAAACAGTAGTTTGTCTAAAGTTACCGAATCTAAAACGAATTTAAGAAGCATTTAATTAACAGAGATTCGTTCGTTTTTAAATGCCTTGTAACTTTTTTACGGTCAAGATTCGTATGAACATTAGTCCATAATTTCTAAAATGCCTAAGTAAACTTAAGCAAACCTTATCTATTCATAAGCTGTTTATCGTGGCCAATGCCGCTTCTTGTAGATGAAATAATTTTTAAAATCACTCTCAGAGCATGACTTGTAGCCATAAAGATGCACTCACTTTTAGTAACATAGACTGCATGACAGTGATTGATAACAAAACAATTAATAATACGTAACAAATTACTAACGATATGTTACATTAAAAGTTTAAATAACAGGAAACAAATCCACATTTTAAATTATTAATTACCTACCTACTTCTAATTCAACGGCAACTGTAATAAGTGCTAGGTATTCAATGATAACACATGAAAAGAATGCCGATTATAATGATAAAGAAAGCCATAATTAGTGATAATGTGTGTTGAATCGAGATACAAAAGTGTCCACCGCCAATGTTTTTCTAATCTTCAATATCATTGGTTTGAATTTGTAATATATCTTAAAAGATCGATTTCTTTTTTTATTATATTTGATTATTTTCGCATTCACAATGCTATACTGAAAATAATCTTAATGATAAATGATTAATTAAATCCACTTGGCACCCCGACATGGGATACGAACCCATAACCTTTCGTTATCATTGTAAATATATTTATTTCGGATGTCTTGGTGGATTGCCTGAACATTGATAAGCATACGCTCTGTAGTAGCGAAAAGTAACAAGTGTTTGAAAGATTCGTCGGTCCTGTTAGGTCCTGGGTAGCTCAGTGGTTAGAGCAGTTGCCCGGATTGCGAAAGGTCACGGGTTCGAATCCCATCTCAGGGTGCCAGGGACCAAGTGGATTTTTTAAGTACTTTTAATCATTAAGGAGATCGTTTTTTTTATAACAAGTGTATTTCTGATCTGTTTACACTGTTAATTATTTGGATATGTCACGTTCGTTAAGTACTATAATTCCACAGTTGGCATTTAGAAGGATGTTGTGTACGCATGAACGGGACTCGGGAGAAAATAATCATACGCTCGAAATAAACCGTGCACAAACATAGAATGCTTACTACTTCCATATATAGATATTCCATTAACACTTTTACCAGGAAACAATGAATAGCTAACCGCTGCTCCCACCACAGCTGTGGTTGCTACGGATTTGGAATTGTTAGAAGACTAGTTGTTACTCGCGACTTCGCGCTCGTGATCGCCTTGATTGGTCGGTAGAAATATAGCGGGCATTCTTCGAAGACGCGATGACTGATAAAAGTCCTCAGTCGATAACTATGAGCGTATACATGACTAAAATGAAGGCCCTATAATAATTATGGTTCTCCAAACTGCATGAGTTACGGATATATCACGAATCACGCATGTGAATCCCATAGACCAATGAAAATAATCTGTCAATGAATGTAACGAATGAAGAGAACTTTCTAAAATAAAAGGCGTAGGTTCTGTGATCTTTTTCTTTTTTCTGTGATTTTTTTCTATATAATGTCGGCAGCTGCCTATCTCACTCATATACACTCCGACAGTCGTAGGCCTTCCAACTATTTCCACACAAAAAATAAATTTATAGATTTAGTAACCATTGACGATGTGGAGGAAGGACCAACAAACAATCATACTTTTCCCGTTATATTTCGAACTGAAGATAGAGCTATTAAACCGCTCCTTGCTACGACCACGAACTATTATAGTGGCAGCGATGAACCAAGAAGTGCCTGGGTTACCTTGCGGTCAGATTTAGTGGTAGCTGGAAAATATTACTGAGTAATAACGTGAAAGCATTTCTTGATTATTGTAAAATTATTATGAGTTAGATGCTTCTATTTGCTTTTACAGTTCTCCTTTCATAAAGATTTAATTAAATTTTGTTTGTTGGATGTACATTCAATGTAGGTTACTAAGTATACATGATAAGATTATTGCTTTAAAAGAGCTAATAGATTAGTACACCTAAGTAAGTGTATTCACCATCAGGAAAAATTAGATTAAAGCCCATGTCACGCACGTATTATGTAACGTTTCCTAAGTAAAAGAATTTAAAAAAATAGTCTAATAGTTTCGGAGCTTATTCAGTGCAAAAAACTCTGTTCAGCAGCAGAGTCTAACTAAATAGGTACAGTATAAGCTTAGATGTAAGAAAACGTGTATTTTGTTTATTATTATATTATTATTAGATACACTGGCATATATCATACATAGAATAAGAGGAATTGTGCGACCGATATTTCACTGTACACCCCATCAAGCTTACAACAAAATATATTCGTGTTCAAAAACAATTGCTTTGTTTAATT